TAGCTAATTCAAAAAATACTCGAAAATAACAGGTTAGGGGCCTTTCAAGTATTACGTAAGCACAATAAGGGGGAAGGGAGTCTTTGATTTTCTTATTTGGTGATTACGTAAACAGTAATTATTTACGTTTTTACACATATTACCCACACATTGTCTATGCTTGAAAATGAAATGCATTTTCGAGGATTCCTACAAAAAAATAATACGTTAATGTACTATTATTTTTGAGAGCATTGCTTACTTTTGCTGACAAGAGGGGCGGGGCAATAAAATGCAGTAAATCTGCTTACGTAATACTTGAACGGCTCCTTATTACAACTTTAGGGGAAAATTTCTTTTTAGCTTTTTCACAATTTTGGATCATATTGTTAGTCTCTTTAATAGCTGAACGTCATTGTTGATTATGTCCGCAATTTGATAATCCATCCTGCCTAGTCTCATAATACATTTAGTTAATACTATATCTTCATTAGGTCCAAGAGTTGGTTAACTTGCAAGAGAATCTCAAAGAGTTGGAGGTCAACAAAGTGAAGTATGCAGAGGAACTGAAAGAGCTGGAGATAGGAATCGCGCCATTGGAAGCAGACCTCAAGGAGAAACAAAGCACCAAGAATGAAGTTGTGAAAAAGAGCAGGTGAATTAATAAGAATCCATATCTTTAAAAAAAAGGGTGCGTGTACTTATGTGCGCGCGTAAGAAGTTATACTTCTTTGGCATTATTAAAAATAGTTTGGCTTTGTTCCACCTCCAGTTTTTGATGTTTCACAGCGATAAGATGACAACTCTTTTTTGTATTCAATTTAGTGCACTTACACTGATTCATCAATTGTTTTTTGTCTCTTGTCCTTATATTTGCTAGAGAAAAATTACATGTTTTGATTAAACAATGTGGTAATTTTTTTTAATCAAAACATTACTCGATAATAATAATACAAACTGATAGTTAACCTCAATTGTAATGAAGCACTTAGGAAGGTTGATGAGCACAGTTTTTTCACAAATATTAATTAGTATTGGTTTAAATATTCAATTTAAATCACTTCTGATTATATATAATTCAAAAAGCATTGCTAAATTTCTTTGAAAAAATAATTAAAACTCCTTTATTTGTTTAAAAGGTAAATGACAAATGTCATTATGGTCATTCAAAATTCTTGGCATACGAACTTCACGCATATTCTATTTCTTTTTACTTGTAGATTGTCTTATTCCTATCTCGCTCGCGCACGCTATAATCACACTCCTAATTTTGTGTCACGGTGCGCGCGCATCGTAAAATTTCACTCTCATAAATTTTTCATAACGCGCCTAAAGAAGTATAACTTCAAAAAAGACATTTCATTAATATCATAAATGCATAAGTTTATGTAGTATTTTTCTAAAACGTTTTCTTATATTCTTGAAATAAAAAGAATTACGAGGCAAAAGCTTTAAATACATTTTCTGAAAAGTATTTCAAATCACTTGAGTAATGTCGTTATTTTAAAATCGAGAAAAATAGATTGACAAATTTGAATATCATATGGGGTATTTCATAAAATTTCACAATCTTGAAATTTTAATGAAAATTATTGATTGTTCGAGTACTAATCCCAAACATCTTATCCTAGAGGCGAGATCGACGTTAAGAACAATTACATAATGAAAGTTGTAAACGCGTTCGACAAAGTGAAGATCATTGACCTCGAAATCCGACAGCACAAAGAGAGGAATATTCAAAAGGAAATGGACAAGATCAAGGAAGCCAATGATGTGTTGATGGAAAAACAGAAACAGGTTATGGCTGACCGAGACCTTCTCACTAAGAAGATGTCAAGTCTGCGTGATGAGCTTTCAAAACAGGAGGTCTGTATATTTTAAATAACCTCCAATGCAAGCTATTGTAGAAATCTTTTCATCGGTCATATGTAACCATGTCAACGAGTATTTATTTTCAAGAGACGGCTTCGTAATCTTTTGTCAACTTTTTGATATTGATAAATTGAGGAATTTATGAAGAACTCAATTTATAATATTTCTTCATCGTATAAATAGAATGATTGAGATGTTTTGGTATAAATTGCTCTGTATGTATTGATTTTATTATAAAACCTATTATATTCAGTTAATGCACTTTGCTTGCTGGTTACCTAGTTATAGTAATACAAAGGAAACAAAAGCTATAGAGCGTGTTCTTTATATTTTTTATCAACAAGTTTGCGTAATATACTTAACCAAACTATTGCATATTCTAGATATACAAGCGCAATTTAGAAGACAACCTGAAACTCCGTAAAGCGCAAGCTGAAATTGAAACTTCGGACAAAGAGCTAGCTGAAGTGAACGAAAAGCTGTCTGGTGTCAACACTGAGACACTCTCAGAAAAGGAAGAACTTATATCTAAGCAGACCAAGATCTTCCGTGAAAAGGCCCAGAATGAGGGAAAGCTTGGAGAGCTCAAGGTAAAAGATTTGACTAAAATGGTTATTAAAAAATCATTAAATAATTTTGTTTACTAATTATTAAACATTCTTTTAAATTTTTTGTTTAATTTGCCATTGAATATGTGTTCACGCATATTAAAATTTATTTATAACAGCATTTTGATCATTTGATTTGGGCCCATTTGCCATCTTCGCCCTTTTTATAACTTGACTAAATATATATTATAACCTTATATCCAGTTCTGCAAAACATATGTTATTGTTTTTAACAATATATTTATATTTGAAAATGTGTAAGTATTGATTAAATGTATAACTCCACAGGAAAGACTGAAGCAAAACAAGGCCGATCTTAAACGTACGCAGAACAAAGACATAGAGATGCGTTATCGAGAGAAAACTTACGAACTACACGTGACAAAGGCAATAGACCGGGATATTCGAGATTACCTTGTTGCCCTCGACAGATGTCTGTTGGAGTTCCACCGGGAAAAGATGGAGAACATCAACTTGATCATCAGGTCAGCATAACAAATAATTTGTTATAAAAAAAAACTTCTTTTGATTTGCAATGTTGCCTGTCATCTATGTATCATATTTAAAGTGACATTTTGAAACCTGAACATACTCCCATTAATTTGTAATTTATTAGGTTAAATAGGACTGTAAGTGAATCATGTTTTCAGAGAGATGTGGAGAAAAATTTACAGAGGAAATGATATCGACTACATTGAAATAAAGACAGAGGGCAGCATGACAGCTGATTCGGATCGTCGCAAATATGATTATAGGTAATGTATCATATAAACTATTGAGAATCTAAATATTTATTTATAGGATTTGCTAGGCTCATATATTAGACAGTGCTCAATTACTTTTAAAAATAGCTACAATTTTGTCTCTCCATCTCGCAAAAGGTCGGCTTCTTGCTTTATTTCAAAACAAACAATAATTTTGTTTTCCTTTGCAGTTTTCTTAGGTAGCCTCTTTACTAAGTTCTACTTAAAATGTACAATATATATCAAGCATACAGCACTATTTATAATATTAATATGTAGTGCTTATCTCATAGATAATAATTAACCATTGTAATATGACTATCTTTTTAACTCTGTATTTGTTGTTGCAGGGTAGTTCAATGCAAGAATGGCGTTGAAATAGATATGCGCGGGCGCTGCAGTGCAGGGCAAAAGGTCCTTGCTTGCCTCATCATACGACTTGCATTGGCCGAGACATTCAGTTCAAGGTATGTATGATATCCTTGGAATTGAATATTAATTGCATAATCTAGTAGGTAGTAAACATGTGTACTAAATTTAGTAGGTAAATGTATGTTTGTCAACATATTTAAACTATCAAATCTAATATAGAATCATCTCAATATAACAATAGATATGGTTTTTTTTAAATTAATCACATATTATACCGTCTTAGGCATAACTCAGACAAGTTTAATTAAAATTGGTGTTTATCAAAATCCCATCGTTTTTGAGATTTGGGTTAATCCACGCATTCTTGGAGGGGACATGTATAACAGTATAGGTACCTTTATATTGTTAGTTCTGTTGTTATTATAAAATAATTCGGGTTGGTTCGGTAAATGGTCACAGACAAATTTGGGTTTGATTGGTACAGCTACACCAAAGCATGTATTATTTTCTTGCTAATCCCGAAAAAAAGTATATCGGTCTGTCGCTTTTAATGAAATATAGTTTTGGCGTTCTTACAATGAGGATGAAATAGAAGATGAAAATGTATGGTTAAACAAATGTGTGTATCATAACTTTGTCTATTTTTTTTACATTCTGCTTTAAAGTAGTTACACTTAATCACAGTAGGTATTTACGAAATAAGAAAAGCTTAAAATGCTGCCCAAAGTACGCGGACGAAGCCGCGGAAAATGTTGCCAACCTGTGACTGTGTGATTAAATTTTAATTTTTTTTAAACATATTTTTCTCCTCACACTACATCTTTTGATACAATTTAATTTTATGAGTATGTATTAAAAATTTTACAGGTTCGGTGTCCTCGCTTTGGATGAGCCAACAACTAACTTAGATTCAGAAAATGTTCAAAGTTTGTGTTCAGCTTTGGGTGAAATAGTCCAAGAGAGGATGAAGCAAAAGAACTTTATGTTCATCATCATTACACACGATCGACAATTTATTGAGTCTCTAGGAAACATCGATAAGGTTACACACTTCTATGAAGTCTCTAGAAATGAAGAAGGAAAGTCTAGGATTAAAAAAATTAGGTTTACATAAGAGTAACCATTTGGTTCTTACAAAATAAGAAAAATATAAAAGGCTGTGCCTTTAATGAAGTTTTATTGTTTAATTTTGTATTTAAACCATTTCACAGGATGGCAATAATGAAAGTAATAAAATAATATCACAAACGTTGTTGTTGTGGTACAGAAATTTATGATAACTGTCTCTGTATATTTTATTGGACCTTGTATACTTTCAACAAAATTATACAATGGCTTTATTTTAAATATATTACATTTTATTAGTAGTCTTGTTTTTTTTAAATTCTCCCATTATAAATTATATATCTAAAACAAAATATATTTATTACATTACAGTGATTGCAATCCCACTTAAAGGTTGAGATAGTTTATCTTGATCTATATGTAATATTTTACTTTCCTGAAGAACAGTAAGTGTAACACCAAGCATTTCAGCTATTAGAGATGGTGGGAATGAAGTCGATAAACATTTTGTAATATAGGGAACTAAATCTTCAGTAAAGCAGGCACAAAATGACATATAATTCTGCCTTTCAATGTCAGTGAATGTCTGCTGTTCTCTATGGTAAAATGCAATAAGAATTTGAACAGCCTGTTCAAGTGATTTTTTAAATGCATTATACACATCCTTGACTATATTTAAGGGGGCTGTTACTCTGATTGAATTGAGAACATTCAACAATCCATTACAGTATTCAGCTAATGGATAGTAATCTAGTAAAATTTCTGGAGGGCCAGACTGCATGTTTTCATTTATTGGTCTTGCAATATTTTTAATACTGGCCACTTTGTATGACTTCATTTGTTGTTCAAAATTAAAATCAACCTTTTCTAAACCACATGTGAATTGTGAAATAACACTGTTTCTGAATAATGGCGTTAATACACATCTCAAATCAGCTCCAACTCTACCAAATGATAAACATAAATACATGCACTGATTCAAAAGGGATTCAAAACTTGACTCATCTTCTTTATAAATATATTGGTTCAATGTTTTTGCTAATTGTTCGACCTGTAAGAAATTTAATAAAATTAGATAAAAAAATTCATCTTCATTGAAATTTAAAATGTTTACCTTCAAAGGTGATCGCATACGTTAAGTTTTCACAATTTATTGTTTGAATGCTGTACACATAGCAGGATTTTGGTAATCAAACGTATATACAATTTTCTGTTTTTCTAGTTCTTTGGTTAGTTGGTTAAGTAAAAATATTCACTATTTTTACTTAATACCTAACATATACGCACAACGGACCAACCACGAGTCTAATTGCGGAGAAAGGAGTCCTTCTACCCTAACCCTTAATACCTAACATATAAATTGTACGGAGAATCACTAAAACATTACCTTCTGTTTTAACCAACAAGACAATGCACTAGTGCCACTTAGCTCATCATCCCTTACTTTAGACTCTTGAGAATCTGACAAAAAAATTGACTTATGTTGCGTTAATACATTAAAAAGATGTATTCTGTGTAACTCCACAATCCTCCTCAGTAACCTCTCAGGTGCTGAAAAAATATAATTAATAAAATATATTAACTAATTAAATGTTTTATGATTGATCAGTAACTAATTTTACCTAGATTCTATATCTAGGAAAAATATGTTACCAATTACATTTTTACATACATTCAGTTGTCTTAGCATCTTCAAGAGCTTTTTCAAACCATGCATTTCTGGCTTTAAGAAAATGTAGGTGTAAACCATCTGATGCTGCATTTTTGCTTCCAGCTGAATAATTATCTTCTTCAGTTGATTTAAACACTATGTATGCTCGACGTAAATATCCAAGTATCTAAAACAGAGTAAAACATTTGATAACATTTATATAGGCTTACCGGTGGAATATTACCCAGATTGATTAATAATATTATGTACTTACTTGTAAACATTGAGGCAGCGGTAAGTCATAATGGAGCTGATTAAATAAATGGTACAAGGTTTCATACCATAAGGTCATAATTTCAGATGCTGTATTCTGTAAAAGTATGAACTACTTTATTACAAATTTATTTGAAAATACACATGATATAGGTATATATATACAAATTGTCTTACCTGCACTATGGGTATTTTAGAATATCTTTTAGATAAATTGCGTACAAAAGTGAAAATATCTAGTGCACTTTCATAGTCTTCAGAGTTTAATGCTTCCCTCATAAGCGCAGGTAATTCCAGAAGTTCTAGTAGCTTATCACTCTGGTTTCTAACATTACTGTATTGCCTAGAGTTCAAAAAATAAAGAATACATTTATTGATGGTATACTTCTTTTATGAAAAATTTATGAGTGTGAAATTTTACGATGCGCGCGCACCGTGACACAAAATTATCAGTATGAAGTTGCCCACTAACGAATTCTTTTTAAACCAGCCGGGCGCCGAGCGTGCGCGAGCGAGATGGAAATAATACAATCTACAAGTAAAAAGAAATAGAATATGCGTGAAGTTACCAGCTATGCTAAGAATTTTGAATGACCATAATGACCTTTGTAGTAAAACCTTTTAAACAAATAAACGAGTTAATTATTTTTTCAAAGAAATTTAGCAATGCTTTTTCACAAAGACATATTGTTACTTAGTTAAAAGGTTATGAAACATACCTAGTTATTAAATTGAATGAATAATATAATAATTATTATTATTAATTAATAATTGAATAATATATTAAATTATTAACGTTAAATATTTATTATTATTTATTTAATATTTAAAAAAAATATAGAAAGCCAAAGAAGTATAATTTCTTACGCGCGTACATAAGTATACGCACCCTTTTTTTACTAGTCTAGAAATTAAGAAAGATTTAAGCAGCTAAACAAAAAGAGCCATAGGAATATATTATTATGAGTAAGAAATTCAGTGCTCAGTTCAACATTATTTCAATAAATCAATTGCTTTAATTCACAACTTGCATAAGCAATATGCTTACTTTTTATCTTGAACAATATCATGTGCTATCCGTGAGAAATTTTCACATTCCTCAACAAACTGAGGTGATGTTTCTAAAAAAGTATCAAGAGAGTCTTTTGACTTGTCCAGATCTTTTCTTATAGTTCTAGATATCTCAGCCGTCTCGACGAAAGTTTTATAATTCGTAAAAGCCAACTCTTGTGTCTGTTCAGTCAAATGTCGCATTTCATCACTCAGGCGTTCGGGCTCTTTTGATATTTGTTCCCAATTCTGAGAACCCATTTTCCTAATATAATCAGATATATCGTTAAAATAGTCTGCATTTTCTACAATAAAATATTAATTTATATTAGAAGTCAATAATTACACATAGAAATTGTGTTTGAATCTTTGAGGGTGTAAAAGTTATCTTACCTGACGTGGAATTGGGGAATAATAAGTGGCACAATTCATTTAACTCTTGATTCATTGCTAAATTTTTATTCGTCTATTAGTTAAATATGCTTCAGTATACTCACAAAAGAGTTATATGTTTACAAAGTATATTTTTAAATTTACTTCTGAATTATGATAAGCTGTGTTATTATCATGAAAAAGACTCCTCTAGTAGTAGTGAGTAAAAATTAAATTTTGTCTGAAATTAGAGTATGTGACGTTCTGTCACTTCTGCTCAATCATATGCCTGCTCTGTGATGACTTTTGGTGGCATAAGGAAAAAGGAAATGATATCTTCTTGAGGGGTTATAAGAACTGGGAAGTAAACTCTTTTGAAGTATTTTGTGTTTTTAATAAGAATTATGATTATTACTTTCTAGGCTTTAAGCATTTTAAAGTAGTATTGATATTTCAGGGGCCTGAGACAAAATTATTCTTCGACAGGTGTAACCTATCTACTAACGCTAAACGAATTTTTATAGGAATGACATTAGCCCACTCTTTGTCACGTGATTATTTCTATATAAATTCGTTACTTCGTTAGACGTTAATCAAACCCCAGACTATGTAATAGAAAAACACAAGGGGGCTGAGTCAAGATGCCTCAACAGTAGTGTATGTAGAAAGTCGAAAACTAAATTTGTTACTAAACTTTCTACATACACTACTGTTAAGGCATCTTGACTAAGGGCCCAGTTTTCCTCAGGTGATTTGGTACATAAGGCTAATGTAGACTACACTGTAGTCGCTACAGATTAAAAGTTAAAACACTTTAATTTTTTATCTGTGCTAATGGCTGGTAAAATTTTAATATAGCCATTTGCTAAATTAAAGAATTTGTATAAAATTCAACGCATTTTCTTAGTAATACATACATTAAAAACTTCTTTTGGATATATTTTCCTGCAAAACTTTAACATTAACAGTTCCAACTCCGAAAAATGTTGGTTATCTTTTTGTTTTCATTCTGTAAAAGAGTTATCAAGTAATGTGATTGCGTCATGTAAGGCCGTACTTGTATCTAGATCGTATTAACTTATATCAGGTACGTTTTATAATATCCTTCAATATCAGCAATTTATTCAATTTAGTATAAAATTTATAATATACATTATGTGTGGATGAGTTAACCTTTATTTTGACAATAACTAATAACCTATTCACTTTCAATTCTCGACACCATTTTTGTTACGCCATTAATCATATCTAATCATATGCACACAATTTAAGACTAGAGATTTCTTTAAATTACCTGAAGCGTTTTTTGAGTGAAGTTCGTTGTAATAATATAATTTAATTAGGTTATGTTGATGTTATGAAGAATGATCAAAATCCTCAATTTCTTGAAGCTGAACTGGCAGGCTAATACAAAGATATTTCGTGTTATCTTATCACGACATAGATGTAACGATATCATAAGATTTTTATTCATGAAGTTAATTTAAAATAATGTTTTGTAGAATAGGGGGTTATGTGTATGTAAACAAATAAATAACCTCTAAATTTAACATTTTCAGCCCTTAGGATTGAATGATAGAAAACAAACAATAATGACTAAACACCGAAATTTGACTTGATTACTTGTAAAAAATTAACACAATCTGGATCCAAGGCAATATATTTACATATCCTTCAAAGTATGGATAATAGTTATGATTAAAAATAAATAAGGTTTTTATCCAAATCATGGAGGGGGAAGAATTTCAGCTCCATTGGGAGTCCGAGGTTAAAGTATGTATACATATAATGTTATTGTTTGTAAAAATGTAATTTTAATATTAAATCTAATTATTATGTTTAAGTTTTATAAACATGAAAATGAATAATATATTAGCTAAGTTCCTATGTAGTATGTACATCATTATTAAGTAAAACTAGTACATTATTATCAAAGTACAACCATATCTAAAAAAATACCTTTCTTCATAAAATATTGTAAATTGTGGTAATAATGGAAAGATATGTTTTAGCCCAAAACTGAAGTGTCTGAAGAAGTAATATGTGGGTTGGATAATGTACAGACAGTACCATATTCCAGCATGGTAATTTTTAAAGAAAATTAGTCATAGCTATTTTCTGTGTATTAAAAAATACTTACTTTAAATTTTTGCCTACAGACAACAGAAGAACTTATAAATAATGCTGATAATATAGCTGCAGAGAATTTAATGTATTTATCTCAAGATGTTGTAACTTACACTGACTCCGCTGATATAGTAGCCGATCCTAGTGTTGAATGTGTCACTGAAGAAGTTATTACTGATGACTGGGTTATTACTGGTGGACAGGAAAGGTAATAAAATATGCATGTCATGTTATACATGTTGTATACCCTATAAAATTAAGATATAACAGTGCAATTCTGAGTTAAAATCTAGATTTTATATACATTAACTAGCAATTGTAATATGTACATATTTATATGGTTTAGATATAGTAAAATTTGGCAAAGAATAACAAGACAAGTTTTTAGATTCACCACTTTGTTAGGAAGTTTTTACAGTAATAAGAAATACTATTTATTTTAATAAGTTGGGTGATATTTTTATTTTGGTGACATATACTGTTTTAGTTTTAAAACAATAAAGTAGTGCTTTAATTCTTGGTTGCCAATATTAGTGATTAAGTTATAGCTGCCATGAACTATATCTGGAAAAAGTGATAAATTTATTACAATATCCAGACAGTTTAGTCAGTATTATGTCTATTTTACCATTACATAAAAACAACTCGCCAAAACATATATGTAATTACTGTAAGAAAGAAGAGTGTGTGTGTGAACACCTTTAAAAAACTCCCTAAGCAAAAAATATTGTCTAATCAAGGTCCATATTCTAATTCATATCTCAAGCCATAATCTCAACTCGAGCGCTGTCAAATATGTCAAACTTCTTACAGAAAATATAGGACTGAGTGTATTTAAAGTGTTTAAATGTGAAAATTACTTACTTTATATATTATAATTACTTTTTTAGATAAAAAATATCTATAAACAATAGTTTTTTCAGTGTAAAATATTTATATTTACATGTTATGTTTTTCTTTTAAACACTGTAATATCAAATGAAACAGTTCAACATACTACTGAGAATTATATTTGATTATATAAGTCTTTGTCTTAAATTAATAATAATAAGTAAAAAAACTTATTTTTCAGAGTGGAGGTGCCTTTTGAACAGTTAATGAATCCAGCACAAGACATAAAAATAGAAAATGATATTGATGTGCCTTTACCAACAGACCAGGTACAGATTTATATGGTTTTTAAGTTTAAAATTCAAATATTAACAAATATGCGACAATAACAAAGAACTCTTGCCAATTGATCAACACATTGAAATGCAAGTATATTTAATTTCAGGATGAATACACAGCAATGCGACCGTTTCCATGTGATTTTTGTTCCCGGAGATTTAGAAAGAAAGCAGCTCTTATGAACCATATGGTGGCGCATCAGAATGATAGACCACATGCATGTAACCTTTGTGGTGTTCGATATGTACGCAAGTGTGATCTTATGAACCACTTCAAGGTCCATGCTTTTATACCAGAAGCAACTGAGCATATTGTTCAGGAGTATCCCAGTGGTAAGTTTAAAATCATTGGTTTTAAAGTATTTATTATTAAATCATATTAAAAATAAAACGAGTATTATAACTATTAGAGTCTGGCTAATGAAAGAAGATAACGAAAAAGCGCGGCAAATACAAAAAAAATTAGTATGGTATCCCTAAAAGTTTGATATATTTTGTGGATTAAACTTACTTGATACTTGATTTTATTTTATTATTTTTTACATTGATAGTAACGTATTTAGTCTTACTATTGATACTTAAATTAACTAGCATTGCATGGAAAAATAAAACTATTTATTATAAAACACATCTTTATTCAGAATAATCAAAATCATAATCCAAAAAATCTATATGAATAGATTCATCAGAGTCATTGACTCTATAACATATTACACTGTTCGTGCTTTTAATACTTGCACTTTGCAGTCATTAAATATATTTTCATCAACAAAACCAGCATTGTTATATTGACAATGTCTGACAATATGAGGGAAATGTAGATAACTGATCTATAAGCATAGAAGATAGCATCATTACTTATTGAATTGTGTAAATATTACTCAAATAATTTTAAAAATGTGTTGTACATACTAAGAGCCATACAAATCAAGGGATAGGAAGATAGTTTGGTTTTCTTGTTTTTCAATTTAGGAAAGCAATTTTATGCAAAGTTAAATTAATTGAGTTTAGGGTTTATTAGATCAACTATCATTAAAAAAATTGTCTGTATAAGGGAGCGTTCAAGTAACGAATTTTTTTCCTGTTGTAAAACGTTACGATGCGGGGCGAGGATTGAATCACGCGTTATTGTTAATATTATTTTCGACTTTCCGGTACTTTACACCACACAATGGTAACTTTTAGGTATAAAGAGTCACTGGGTGGTCACGAAACGTTTTACTATTGGGTACAGAAAAACGTTACGGCGCTTTACATAGGGGTAGAGGGGTCAATTATCTCCAAAAATTGCGTGACGTAATACTTGAACGCTCCCTAATGTGCAAATAAATATTCTATAATAAAGTGGCAGTGAAATTATTGTAAGCCCTTAATATGTAATTTACACATCACATTATTGTATAATAAATTAAAAGAATAAAAGAAAGTATTCTTTAACCCTTCATCTCATGAACATTTCAATTATAAAACAGAATAATGACATGAAAAAACAATAGATAATATTAATATAACACTTATTGGCTTTTCTATGTTTCAGATGAAGAATTGCCAGAGAGTCCACTTCTTAAGCCAAAAAAGAAAAGAGGCAGACGGAAAAAGAAACCTGAAGCAGTAAGTAAACACGCCAATCAAAATACACTAGGACGGTTTTTATGTAATTGTCTTAAATTGTCTAAATAATCACTATTTTCATGATTAGAAAGCTGTAACAAATAGAAACATAATAGTGGTTTTACTTGATGTATTCACTCACTCATTGTGTCATTCCTGGCACATCATT